GAATAGTCAATCCACTCCCTTTCTATGCCCCTGATTCTATTATAATCACCAGTTTATTCTGTTCATCAAATTATTTATTCACTTGATTTTTAGATTCACTTGTTGATAGATGTGTATTTGTTGTTCATAATTTGTATCTTTACCTTTTTCTTCTTCCTCTTCTTAAAGGATACCTTTCAGCATTTCATATAATACTGGTTTGGTGGTGATGAACTCCTTTAGATTTCCTTATCTGTGAAGCACTTTATCTGACCTTCAATTCTGAATGATAGCTTTGCTGGATAAAGTAATCTTGGTTGTAGGTTCTTGGCATTCATCACTTTGAATATTTCTTGCCACTCCCTTCTGGCCTGCATAGTTTCTGTTGAGAAATCAGCTGATAGTCGTACGGCTACTCCCTTGTAGGTAACTGACTGTCTTTCTCTTGCTGCTTTTAAGATTCTCTCTTTGTCTTTTTCTCTTGGCATTTTAATTATGATGTGTCTTGGTGTGGTCCTCTTTGGATTCCTTTTGTTTGGGGTTCTCTGCGCTTCCTAGACTTGGAAGTCTATTTCTTTCACCAGGTAGGGGAAGTTTTCTGTCATTATTTCTTGAAATAGGTTTTCAATATCTTGCTCTCTCTCTTCTTCTGGCACCCCTATAATTCGGATGTTGGTGCGCTTGAAGCTGTCCCAGAGGCTCCTTACGCTATCTTCGTATTTTTGGATTCTTTTTTTCATTTTGCTTTTCTGGTTGGGTGTTTTTTGCTTCTTCGTATTTCAAATCTTTGACTTGATTCTTGCAATCCTCTAGTCTGCTGTTGGAACTCTGCATAATATCCTTTATTTCAGTCAGTGTATGCTTAATTTCTAATTGGTCCTTTTTGATAACCTCGAGGGTCTCACTAGATTTCTTGAGGATCTCACTACATTTATCGGCGGTCTCACCAGACTTTTTGAGGGTCTTACTAAATTTATCAGCGGTTTCTAGAAAGTTCTTGAAAAACCTTAAAAGTGTGGTTTTGAACTCTATATCCAGTCGTTTGCTTTCCTCCATTTCTGTCATTTGTGTCCTGTTTCTTTGTCTCCGCATTTTTTATGCTTCCCTGTGTTGGTAGAGTGGCTTTGTGTGCTAGGTGTCCTATAGGGCCCAGTGGCTCAGCCTCCCCAATTACCTAAGGTGGACACTCTTGGTGCACCCCTTTGTGGGCTTTGTGCACAGTCTTTTTGTAGTTAAGCCTTGATTGTTGTAGGTATCACTGGGAGGAATTGACCTCCAGGCCAATTGGCTGTGAGAGTCAGCTGTGTCTACAGTGGGAGAACTTCTGTGCTGAAGACACCCCTCCGGGGCAAGACTTGCTTCAGTGGGGCTTTGGTGCTCGCTGAGTTTGCCCCCTGAGTGTGTCCCTTATGGATCTGAGGAGTTGTAATCTGGATGGTCCCACTCTGACCACTGGGTACACTGGCTCTTGGATCTAAGGAGGTGCTAATTTAGCCTCTGCCTGAGGCTACCCAGCAGGAGCTATGAAGAGATCTGCAGATTCCCCTTCCTTGTTTGGGGTTTGGAGGTGCCCAAATGAGGCCCAGCTGTGAAGCAATGCAAGCTGCTCTGGGGCCTTGGGCCTTCTCTTGGAAGTTCTGGGTCTGTCTGGCCCAGTTGCAGTTTGTTAGGTAATTTTCAGATTGCAAAGGGCCAGGGCATTCATATGCAAAAGCCTCTGCCGCAGCTTGGGTGGGGCAGGGTCTCAGGGAATCAACAGGGCAGAGCAAGCAGCTATGGCTGATCCTCAGCCCTGCCCTAGGGGGCCCCGCGTCTCAGTGTCCTGGTAATCGCTGCAAGCACCTTTGAGAGAAAGCCGCCCTCGAATTCCGAGTTCTGCCCGCCGCCGCCAGACAGTCCAGTTTCTCCCTGTATGAGTCTGGGTCCCCAGAGACTCACCCGGAACTGGAGTTCAGAGCAGTCGGGAGCTTGTGACTCCCTCCTGATTCAAAAAGACAGCCGTGTCCTCAGTTGCCAGCCCTTGCCCTGTGCGCCTCTGTACCTCTGCACTTCCGCACCTCTGCACCTCCTCTGAGTCTCAGTGTGCTTTTCTCTTTCCTTCTAGTTGTAGAATTTCCACTCAGCCAGCCTTGCTGTGGTTCTGGATGATGTCCGTTTTGTCTTTTAGTTGTATTTTTGAATTTGTTGTGGGAGGCAGCAATTTCCGGTGTTTACCTATGCCGCCATCTTGGTTTCTCTGTAGTATTCTTTTTATAGACATTAGTATACTTTGCCATTTTAAAGATTGACAATAGAAAAACAAAGGACATAAATAGGTAGAAAAAATACAAAACACAAAGATACTTTCACTTAAAATTAAAGAAATATAGGATACTATTTTTCATCTATCGAATTGGCAAAGATAAAAAACTGATGGTATACAACACTGGCAAGACATTTCACTTACCATTGGGGAAAGTGTAAATTTGTGCAACCTCTTTGGAGGATAGTTTGGCAAAATCAAAATTAAAAATACATGTATTCTTTGACTTAGTAATTTCACTTTTTAGATTTATCTTATAAATACACTCATGTATGGAAAGATCTCTGTAAAAACTATGTTCATTGCAGGATTGTTTGAAATAGCTGTAGACTGGAAACAACCCACATGCTTCTCAATAGAGGACTGGTGCCTAATGAACTGGTGCATTCATGTCATGGAATGCTCTTTTAAAAGGATGAGGTGTATCTGAATGTGCTGATATTGAATGATCGCTGAGCCAGGGGTGGGAGGTGTGGGATGAATGTGTGTGTAAAATGTTCCCTTGTGTGTTTGAAAAAAGGAAAAGATTATCACACATATTTATATGCTAATTATATGCCTTAAAATTTCTAAAAGATAATAAATTATTAACAGTAGTTATCTTTAAGAAATGAGACTGGGAAAACATTTTAAGTTTTTTTATTGAACTATAATTCACTTACTTACAAATCACCTTTCTAAAGTTAAAAATTCAGCAGCTTTTATTATATTCACAAGTTTGTACAACCATCACCATTAACCCAGAACATTTTCATCACCCTAAAAATAAACCCCAAACACATAGACAGTTACTCCTTATTCCTCCAACTGTGGATATCTTCTTTTCCCCCAGTATTTGACAGTCGCTAATATTTCTTAATTTGTCAACTCTGGACATTTCATATAAATGAAATCATATAACATGTGGCCTTTATATCTGGTATTTTTCACTTAGCATAATGTTTTCAAGGTTCATCCATGTAGCATCTCAGCATGTCAGTCCTTTTTATGACTGGATAATACTCCATTATATAGATTATACTGCACTTTATCTGTTCATCAGTTGATGGACATTTGAGTTGTTTCCACTTTTTAGCTATTGTGAATAATGCTGCTATGAACTTTTGTGTATAAGTTTTAATATAGAAATGTTTTTATTTTTCTTGGGTGTATACCTAGGAGTGGAAGGTCATATGTTTAACTTTTGACTAACTGCTCAACTGTTTTCTAAAGCTGTGTACTAATTCCTTATTGTTTACTTTATATATTGTTTGCATTTTTAAAAGTTATTTTTACTAAAGAAATTTACAATATTTAGTTAGTAAATGCTATGATTAAGAACTGGAAATCTGCTTGGCTGGTGTGGCTCAGTGGTTAAGCATCAACCCATGAACAAGAGGTCACTGGTTCGATTCCCAGTCAGGGCACATACCCTGGTTGTGGGCTCCATTCCCTGTAGGGAGCATGCAGGAGGCAGCCAATCGATGATGTTTCTCTCTATCCCTCTCCCTTCCTCTCTCTCTTAAAAAAAAAAAAAATCAATAAAAACATATTTTAAAAAAATGCTAATATGGCCCAAAATTTTAAAAAATAAACAAAACACAAAGAATTGGAAATCTGATGAAGATTATAAAGAAACTAGAGGCCCAGAGCACAACATTCGTGCACTGAGCGGGGGGAGGGGGGGGTCCCCTCAGCCTGGCCTGAGCCCTCTCGCAGTCCGGGACCCTGAGGGGTCCTTAGTGCTGTTGTGGAGGCGGGAGAGGCTCCCACCACTGCTGCTGCATTAGCCAGCTGTGAGCCCAGCTTCTGGCTGAGTGGCACTTCCACAGGGGGAGCACACTGACCACCAGGGAGCAGCTCCTACATTGAGCGTCTGCCCCCTGGTGGTCAGTGCACGTCATAGTGACCTGTCATTCCACAGTTCGGTCGATTTGCATATTAGCCTTTTATTATATAGGATGGGAACTATAACGGTAAAATTTTAGTTTAAACTAATCCTAATAACCTGCTAATTTTTAAGGTTTATGTATGAATCTCTTTTTTTTATTATGAACTAGTGTGTTCCTCAGAGAAAAAGGAATATAATTATCTTTAAACTTTATGTATTTTATTACTCCTAATTAATCTCAGACCTTGAAAATTTATGTGATTTTATAATTACAAGGGTTTTTTTCCTAATTATTTGCAGGAAGGCAATAGAAAATATGGTTAATTTAAATTTTTCTTTTATCTTCAGGGCCCTGGAAACATGAATGGAAGCTATTCATTGGGAAGGTGCTCTTGTTACTTTAAATGACTTTGGGCTTTCTCTTCCTTGATTTCCATTCTATACTCATTTATTACCATTTCAGTTGAATTTTAGGTAAACTAATTACCATATAAATGTACTGTTTATAGAATATCAGAAGATTCATCTTTGTGATGCCAAAATGAAAAGTTGATGAAGTCAGTCCCATTGTATATATGTTCATATTACAGTGATTGAATGTAGATTTAAAAGTTAACTTCACATTTTAATTTGTATTATAAAAGGGTTTCATCCTTTCTGGTGTTAAGAGTTCTATAGTTCTTTGTAACTATTTAAAAAGAAATAGCTACTTTTCTTCAAAAATAATTGGAAAGAAAGTATGATTGTTGGTATATAAATATAGCAGAGATAGTTTTGTACAAAGATATTTTAGTCCTTAAAGTATGAAACTTAAACTGTAAAATCTTTATTTTTCATTTTTTGCTTCAGATTTTCAATAAACAAAGCTCTAAAAGTAATTTTCTCCTTTTGATAAAAAGTTAAGCTTCACTTTTAACTTTTGAAAAGGTTCCCAGTGTTATTCTGTGATGTTATATCAAAATAAAGTTTACATTTGATTGGGAAAGCTGTGTTCTTTAAGATAATGTAAAACAATTATCAAATTAGTAAAATGAATCTGGTTGCTGATAAATGTTGTTTTATCTGCTCATTGACTATTTAATTAGTAATTATATCAAAAAAGGGCTTGATCTTTTATTTCTAAAATGAAAATTAAACCTCAGACTGTGTTAATTCTAATTGAGGTTTTCATAGTTTTATTTTAAGGTGAAATGCGAGCAAGCAGAGTGTTATCACATAAACATTGGAGTTATGGAAGTGTATTTTGTAAATTGCTGTTGGTTAATAAAATTAATGGTATTAATTACTTTCTTTAAAATTTATAAAATTCTCAAAACTACACATATAACTGAATACTTTGTTTCTCATATCAAGGTACATTTATCATTTTCTGAATTGACCATAATATATCTTGGGGCATCTCATTTATAAAAATATTTGTTGGATACTTGGTTGGTAGAAAGATGAGGAAGTTGGACTTTTGAGAAAAATATATTGACCAGGAAAAGTAAAATGGAGGTGGGGTTTTTTTCGTGTGTGTGTGTGTGTGTGTGTGTGTGTGTGGTCTTTTTTAGCATATATAAGATGTAATCTCATTCTTAAAGTCAGAGGTATATTAAATGCCAACATGTTCTCTAAACAGGTCCCAGTATGATATTGCAGAGAAATGCCACCTGGCTTAGCTAAACCTTTGCAAATTCAAGAGTCCCTATAGTAGCTTTCTGTGTTAGGCTACATATGTAGCACCCTTTCTTGTGGATTAGAATTGTGTGTGTGTGTGTGTGTGTGTGTGTGTGTGTGTATGTGTGTGTTTAAAAAATTTGCAACTTAACAGTTGTAAGAATCTGAATTCCTACATAGATTCACCAAGTGTTAACATTTTGCAACATTTCACTTTACCACTCTTTATACAGTATTACTAGAGGACCAGTGCACGGAATTCATGCACAGGTGGGGTCCTAAGGTCTGGCCAGTGATCAGGGTTGACCGAGGCCTTCCTTCATTCTGCACTGCCCCCTGGTGGTCAGCGCACATCATAGTGAGCAATAGAACTCCCAATCTCCTGGTCGAACTCCCATGGGGACACTTTGCATATTAGTCTTTTATATATATAGATTACTTTCTTTTGCTCAATGATTTGAGAGTAGGTTGCAGTCATCTTGGGCCCTTACTCCTAAATACATTAGCATCTATTTCATAAAAACACAGACATTCTCTTACCTAGCTAGTCATAGTACAATGATTAAATTTCAGAAGTTTAACATTGGCACTATAGTATTATCTAATTTACAGTTTATATTAAAACTAGTGGCCCAGTGCATGAAATTCATGCACATTAAAAGGGAATTAATTAAGGAAATATACACTAATAAAAGAGAAATATGTAAATTGGTCATCACTCCGCTATGCCCACCAGCCAATCAGGATGAGTATGCAAATTAACCCAATAAAGATGGCAGCCCGAGCGAAGACTGAAGATGACTGAAGACTGAAGAGGCTTGGCTTCTCCGCTGTGGCCGGACCAAAGACCTGGGTCCCGGGTACCAGAAGAAAACCGGTGCTGGCAGCCAGGGGAAGGAAGGCCTATTGTGCGAATCTTCGTGCATTGTGCCTCTAGTATTTTAATATTGCTATTTGCCCTTTCTCTATAATAGAAGTATCAGAGATGAAAGAAAATTAGTAAAATGTATATGAAAATCTTCCTCCTGTCAGAGTCTGAGGCATGCCGTGGGACCCAGAGTCAAGTCCCCGCCCACCCGCATGCACCTCAAAATCGCACGAGACCCAAACCCAGCCGGCCCCACCCCCATTGGGTGAGATCCAGACCTAGTCGACTTCACCCTTGTCAAGCCCCGCCAGGTGGGGGGGCACAGCCTCAGGTCCCCTGTCAAGCCCCGCCAGGTGGGGGGCGCAGCCTCAGGTCCCCCGGCGCTGGGGCGGGGGCGCAGCCTGAGGTCCCCCGTCAAGCCCCACCGTGCAGGGGGTGCAGCCTCAGGTCCCCCACCCCGGCCCAGTGCCCCACAGCCTCAGGTCCCTGCTGATCGCTCATTATAGGAACCCCGCCTCCACTGTGGGCACAGCCATCTTGTGATGGCGTGATGGAGTGAGGGTCAATTTGCATATTACCTCTATTGTATAGGATTTTTGCTAATTGTTACAAAGATGTCCTTTGTTGTGATTTTTTTATTCAAACACAAGATCATGCATTTCTTTTAAGCTATGTAAATTTTGTTGCTTTGCAACATGTCACTTCTGTTCAGAAATAGAGGATATCCTTTTGACTCATCTCCTGCAAGTTTTATTGAAGAAAAAAAAGATATTTGGGATTTCAAGGTGGCTGCTTTCTAGAAAACCAAATTTACCGTGTAAGAGGACCATTTTTATTTTTTATTCTGAAAACTTTGGCTGAGTTTTGGTGTCTTGACTCAGCAAAGTCTGTCATTCAGCAAGGCTTGGTAAGCATGAAAGTGGGTACTGAAGCTTTCCTTTATTTTATAATCCCAATTGTTTTTCTAGAAACCATCAATAGTTTGTAAATGACTGACTCAATTTTTGGATCCTATTCTCATGACCAAGCAAATGTTTGACTTGAAACCATCCCAGTATAAATGTCTCTGTGCCTCTAACTCTGAATCTATTCCTGGATTTCAGCACTGGAGAAACCCATCAAAAATGTCTAAAACTGGAACAAAGGTAAATAAATGCTGATTTTTAGCCTAACTACTTTCTTTTTACCTAATGATACATTGAAAAAAACATGTAGAAAAGCTTTAGCTACTTTCCCTGCTGGTGAGTATGATAGTGTTTAGAAGGTTAGGATAGGGAGAGAAGATTAAGACATGCTTATTATATTCTCTAACAGAATTATCAAACAGTTCGTTAAGGGGTTATCAGTATGTGTGGTGCTATGTTGAATACTGTACAAGTATATAACATGTAAATACCATGATTTCTGTCTTCCAGAAACTAATATTCCATGCACTTCCACAGGAATAGGTATGCTGATCAGAGGATTATGTGAAGCAGAAAGCTTTTGGTATTCAATGAAAATTTTGTTTTATGAAATTTAGCCTCAGCCATTAATATTTTAAAAGGCCAAGGTGGATGGAACAATCAAGAGAATTAAATCCTACATATCCTCTTCATTCAAGCAGTTACTCTAACCCTTTGCCCCAAATAAAGTGCTTATTAAGTTAAGAAAATTACCTTTAAATATTTGATTTACAGTTGTTGAACTGGCTATTTTATCCTGAGGCAGGGCTTTGGGAATGAGGGAATGTACCTTCATTCTCTTTTTAGCTCTTCCACTGACCAGGGACTGAAGCAAAGCCATTTGTTCCTGATTCCCCCCATCCCCCACCCCCCACCCCGACTTTTTACTTCAAAAACTTTCAAACCCATTGCATCATTTTAGAGAGCACCTATTAATATGTTCTAGAACTGGTTAGTGCCTGATTATTTTCCTTTTAGAAAATAGAACTAATAATCATACTTGTTATTCAGAAGGAGAAAAATGAGACAGTGTCTTTAGTGCTCTGAATTTCTTGATAATATGCCAAGCACATCCCACTGAGAATGTGCAGTCCTAGAGAGATATCCATGTACCTCGATGGAAAGCTGTTACAAAATCACCTTAGATGAAAACATCCCTGCTTTCAGAGATTTCCGAAGTAGTAATGGTGTGCTCTCTCATTTCTTCTGGCTGGACTTTTGCTTAAGTTAAATAACCTTTGTTAGCTAGACCAAAGAAGACTGCATCTCTTTCTCTTACTCTCCCTTTCCCACTGTCTTGCTAGCAGTTTAATCAGAGGAGTTAAGGGCTTGTCAGAAAGAACATACTGTGTTTGTTTTTGTTGCCTCTGGAATACTTGAGACACTTTTCTTTCTGCCACATTGGATTAGTAGGCTATTTTTCAAAAAGTCAACTTGAAAACAAGAGGAATTTTGAAATTTTAGGCAAATCTGCACATTTCTTAGCCTTTTCTGCAGATTCCCCTCCCACCCCCAAAAGTTAAAACCTTCTCTTAGCTGACCATAGAGTAGACTTCATAGACCTACAAATGGAAAGTGAGTAGATTTGCAACATTCTCTGGGCCCTGAGAGTTAGAAGGTCTCCCTGAAAGGTGAGCTTGGTCCTGGAGCTCAGTAATAGTTCCATGGCAACATTAGTGCTTTGTTTCACTCTTAGGATGGTTAGCTGCTCTGCTGGGAGGTTGGACAGCAAGGTGAACTTGTAGAATATCGTGTATATTTCACTTCTCAGCTATTGATGTCAGTCAGACACATGTGCAGAAGGCAGTAAATGTGAGAAACAATGAAGGAAAAAGATGATACTAAATTTCCCATAACATATCCCTTGCAAAGGCTCTTTTGTGATTAGTTGGCTGAAAACCAAAGGTAAGTTGAATTAAGAACTTGGGTCTATCTATTCATAGAAATGTTACCTTGATTTTCCTAAAGATCTTTTCACAGGTTTTGGGAAAAACCCCTCAGACTCAGAATCAGTCTTGTTCTGTTTCTAAGAGAGTAAATTCTATTTGTCAAACAGGGATAGCTGTGTAGGTAGGAAGACAGCAAAAGGGAAAATAAAGTAAAATAAAATGAACCACAGATTACTAACCAGGAATTTGCACTGCAGTCCTCTCACTTGCCTGCAACTAACTGGTCACTACATAGTGACCATAAGAAAGTTAATTAACTTCTTTTTCTGTAACAACTATAAGAAAAGCTTATTGGCAATTAGGAACTAGGTATTAAACTAATTGCTTTATCTACATTATCGCATTGGACCCTCAGAGCAATCCTGTGCAGTAGATACGATGATCCAGTTTTACAAATGAAGAGACTGAGCCTCAGAGAGATTCAATGGCTTGTTCAAGTCACAGAGCCAGGGACTAGTGGTGCTGCTATTTTATTTTCTTTGTTTTTTTATCTGTAAACAGGGGCACCATATATCTTTAAATACTAGTACAGTGGGGCCTTGACTTACGAGTTTAATTCGTTCCGTGACGGAGCTCGTAACTCAAATTACTCGTATGTGAAATCATAAAGTGAACGAGTGAGACACGTGATGCTGGGCCGATGTTGTGGTGTTCACTGTGATGTTCGCTGGGCCAACTAGCGGTGGGGTATCTGAAGCTGGCTCGTAACCCGAATTTTAGCTCGCAACTCAAAGCAAAAAATCGGCGGAGAGACGGCTCATATCTCGAAAAACTCATTAGTCGGGACACTCGTAAGTCAAGGCCCCACGGTATATGCTGCGCTAAAATTGGAAAAGGAGCTGAAGAGATGAATTTGGGAAGGGGCGAAAGGAGATAAAGTAGATGATTAGGGGTGGGAAAGAAGCTTTTAGGGAACAGGAAATAAAAGAGATGAAATGGGAAAGGTAAAGGGGAGATTAAGATAGAAGGAAATAATTATTAGTAGGGAACCATCTAGAAAGAACTACATGGGGTGGAAGAGAATGAGGTTTTATGTCCATTTGTGAGTCATTCTTGGTTTCTTCTCACCTTTATTCTCTGCATCTAATTAGTCACCAAACCCTAAATTTCTTTTGCACGTTTTCTCATCATCATTCACATTGCCATTGCCTTTCCATTGGCCCTCATCACTTACCTTGCCTATAACAACCATCTATTTCCAGGTACATCTCCCGCATTATCACCAAAGGGATTCTAGCATGGCTCCTGTGTCTCTTTTCTGCCTTTATTTCCTAATACTTAACAAATACTCAATGTAATGGCCCCTACAATGGCTCATAATCTCTCACTCCTTTATTCCTTTGAACAGGCTATCCTTTTTCCTTTGCCTGTTGAGAAAACCCCTACTTAGCCTTCAAACCTCACCTAGAAGATCCTCTCCAGACTAGTTGGCTCTGCTCCTCCTGGTTTTCTCCTTTTAAACCGATAGAGCAAAGAGTCACAAGGTGGCAGCATAACGCCAGGGAATTAACTTCTTATGATGCCTGTGACTTCAGTTTTAAATGATAACCTAGCATTGATTTTTGGTTGAGGAATTATAGCCCATTTGGTCTAGTGGTTGTCAGACACTGTTTCATGAAAACCTGGGTTATTTCTTGTAACTCTATCCCCTATTTCAACCAGAAAAGCTCTGAGTTTTATTTCACAGCCAGGACGACCAATGTAGTCTATTCCTTTCATTTGACAAATAGGACTTGGAGCCGAGAGACGGCTTGACTAAGGTAGTGGGGCTGATTATGGAGATGCAGCTCTAGAGCCCAGGTTTATTATTTCGTTTTGCAGGGCTGCATGTTTTCCAAGGCCATCACAGATCCAAGGGGGTACCCCAAGCATTCTGTTAGAAACTGGGGAAGAGCTTGAAACAGAACATGTTGTTACTTTGCAACAATTTTCTTGGCAATAAAATAATACAGAACATAATATGGTATATTTTCATGCTCTATCCATCTAAAATAAGTTCTCTAAAGTTAAGGTCTGTTTATTTTTCCTATGTATCTTCTATTTCACCTAGAATGAATACCTGCATTTACACTTATTTGCCTTCACCAAACATTTATTGAGGGGCTGACAAGTGCTGGGCACAGTGGTTTTTAGCACAAATGAGGTTTGGTCTTCACCCTTGAAAGAAGTCCACTAGGAGGTCTGGTGGGAGAGAGAGACATATTAGTAGATAATTTATTGTGTAATGTGATAAGTACAGTGAGCCGTGGGAACAAAAAGCAGGAAGCAGTGAGCTTGAGTCTGAAATTGCCGGCTTATATTAGAGTACTTTTTGTTTTTTTTATGTTAAGCCCTCAGAAAGTACTCATTCCTATCGTTGACAACCAAAGTTGTCTGTCAGAAGGTAAATGTTATAAAGTAGAGCAAAAATGTTATAAGGTAGAGCAAAAATGGAGAAGGAAGGAATTTCTGAAGTGGGGAGTATGCTCTTAATTTTTATCTTATGTATGAATGATGCCACCCAACTGCTCAGTTCTCTTTGTTTGCCCTGTACTTCAGATTACTTTCTATGAAGACAAAAAATTTCAAGGCCGCCACTATGACTGTGATTGCGACTGTGCAGATTTCCACATGTACCTGAATCGCTGCAACTCCATTAGAGTGGAAAGAGGCACCTGGGCTGTGTATGAAAGGCCCAACTTTGCTGGGTACATGTACATCTTACCTCGGGGCGAGTACCCTGAATACCAGCATTGGATGGGCCTCAACGATCGCCTGGGCTCCTGCAGGGCTGTTCATCTGGTGAGCCTGGTGGCACTCTCACTGTCTCCACGCTTTTTTGTTTTACGTGAAAGTTTTTTTGAGGTTTTTCTACTTCTTAATGGGAAGCTGTCTTTTTTGGCTGTGGAGGCTTAAATAAAATCTTAGCTCAGTTCATCATAAGACTGAATACACTAATTATTTCCATAGCACTTTTGCTACCTCTTGAGGATTTTAAGGAATTAAGCTTTTAAGTCAGCTGTTTCAGTCAGTGCACAGTGGGGATGGGAGTTTGGATCATCTAGATTTCAAGATGGTGGGTTCTGAACCATCCTGTTCTCTGAGTCTGTGACCTGCTGGTGATTTCCATAATGGTTACTGTTCGTTTCCTTCTGTTTTTTTAGTCTAGTGGAGGCCAGTATAAGATTCAGATCTTTGAGAAAGGGGATTTTAATGGTCAGATGTATGAAACCACTGAAGACTGTCCTTCCATCATGGAGCAGTTTCACATGCGAGAGCTCTACTCCTGTAAGGTGCTGGAGGGTGCCTGGATTTTCTACGAGCTACCCAACTATCACGGCAGGCAGTACCTTCTGGACAAGAAGGAGTACCGGAAGCCCATCGAATGGGGTGCAGCTTCCCCAGCTGTCCAGTCTTTCCGCCGCGTTGTAGAGTAATGACATGGATGGGCCATAAGCTTCTTCCTAGGGGCCAAACACTGCTGGCCTTGTCATCAAATAGGCATCATAAATAAAACAATTGGCATGCACTCCACTGTTGACTGTTGCCTCTCCTTAAACACTCTTAGGGATCAAATAGTATCCACCAGAGTGGGCAGTTATACAAAGCAACTAACTCAAAATGAGACTGCATGAAAAAGACTAGAAAATCATAGTGCCACATGTTGCTAATTTTGTGTTAATTCACAGGTACTATAATAATAGCTGCCATTCATTGAGTGCTTTTATTATGCCATTTTCTCTTCACAACAATCCTGAAAAAGAGGTGGTTCATCTGCATCTTATGAATAAGGAACCAGAAGTTTAGAGAATTAAAAACTTGCCCAAGTTCACCAGCTTGTGAATGACGGGACCAGGATACTTAGGTTTCCAAAGCCCTGTTCTTTTCTTTTTATTTTTAACTCATTCAACACATATTGGCTGGGGATCTGTGTACATCATGTAAGTACACAACCCTGGGATAGTGTACCTATCAAACAGGGCTATTACTTGAAAATAGTAGTGCCATAAGTCTCTTGAAGTCCTTTACGATCCAGAGATTCCTGTGCCAGTTACCTCTCAACCCTCAGTTCAGTTTATCTGTAAAAAGAAAGGACATGTGAAACAATTTATGCCTGCTTTAAAATAGTTGGGATGGCCATAGCTGGTTTGGCTCGGTGGATAGAGCGTCGGCCTGCGGACTCAAGGGTCCCAGGTTCGATTCCGGTCAAGGGCATGTACCTTGGTTGCGGGCACATCCCCAGTAGGGAGTGTGCAAGAGGCAGCTGATCAATGTTTCTCTCTCATTGATGTTTCTAACTCTCTATCCCTCTCTCTTCCTCTCTGTAAAAAATCAATAAAATATATTTTTTAAAAAATAAAATAGTTGGGATGGAGTTTTATTGAATTCTTACTTTGAGATTTTACTAGTATTTATTTAGTCTTGAAGGAACTGGGGCATTACTAGTAATGTTTAGTGAATATCCCACTAAACTGGGATACTCTGGATGCACCTGTCTTTAGAGAGATGGCAAAGCTCGTGTCTCCTAGGAGTTTTTCCTGCAAAGGACGAGTAGAACAGCCGAGGAGCCTCCCTTTGTATTCATTTCAGTCTGTACTCTAGTGTGCAGTGCATGCTCTCCCCTGAGTGCTTTTATTCATTTGTTAACTTCAGCCCTGCCTCCTGTCATTTTTTTTCATTTTGAGTGAAGGACTTTGAGAAATTTAAGTGAAAGTGAGCGAGAAAGACATGATACACTGAGGAGGAATAGGAGGCCACTTGCTGAGCTGCAGAGCTCTGGACCTTGTCACCCTACCATGAAGTTAACTTTCCTTATCTCCACAATGAGGAAGGAGAGCCAAATGCTCACTCAAGTCCCATCGAACATAAACATTCTAATTCTCTGAAGGCCAGGACAATGCTGAAAGACTAACTGATGTCTAAAGACCACTAACATTTATTTTTAGAGGCACAATTTCTGGGAATGACCTTGGAGATTCTGCCTCTCCTTTTCTGCAGAGGATGCTGAGGGGGTAACAGTCAGTGACTGCCAGTCTTTCCTCTCAGACCAACTGCTGCCGTGTTCCAGTCCTTGGTGAGCTGGTCACAGTCTGTTCACAACAAGCAGAAAAGCAGTTCTGGCAGCAGGATAGGAAAACAGGCATCAGGATGACTAACTACGATCTCAGAGAAGTAGAAGATGGCTTTTGACAAATAAAACAATTATTTGGGGATGTTTTATGCCTCTTGGTTCATACCCTGGTCCAGAAAGAGATTGCCACCATTCTCCCCAGCCATGGACACATTAATCAACTTGCATGTAAAAGGAATTTTACTAGCAATCAACATTACAGTAAAAAACACTGTATGCCCTTATCTATCAATCAGCCCCAGTTCTGATAGAACATTCTGCCATTAGAGCCAAAAGCACCTGTCATGGACACCCATGGGTTGTTATTTATAAGTATTACCTCTCTCTGCTTTTTATTGTTTTGCTGCTCTAAAATGGGGGAGGAGGTGTCTCAAGAAAATAGGGCAATGGCTTACTTAGACCATTGTAGTCCTGTTTCCATTGTAGTCCTGTTTCCATTCTACGCATTCCTCAGACACAAGTCGTTGAATATTTCCCAAACATAGAGCCCACTTCCTCAAAATGTAACACCAGGGGCTCTTCTTTAAAGCCTTTATAGTAGTGGAATCTAAAAACAAAACAAATAAAACAAACCCATAGATACAGAGAACAGCTGATGGTTGCCAAAGGGGAGGAGGTGGGGGGTTTGGGAGGGAGTATAGGGGAGTTAAATGTGACCAGTTATTTATTCCTTTATTCAAGGAAAATAAAATTTAAAAATAAAGCCTCCAGGTAGGGTTGCCAGATTAAGTAGTAGACAGAATTAGTGAATCCCAAATCAGATAAGTCAGATATAAACATAGTATAAGTATATCCCAAGTTTTGGATGGAATATACTTACACTAAAACATTATTTGTCATTTGTCTGATATATAAACTTAACTGCATTCTGTATTTTTATTTGCTAAATACAGTGGGGCCTTGACTTACGAGTTTAATTCGTTCCATGACGGAGCTCATAACTCAAATTACTCGTATGTCAAATCATAAAGTGAACGAGTGAGACACGTGGTGCTGGGCTGCTGTTGTGGCGTTCACTGTGACGTTCGCTGTGCTAACTAGTGGTGGGGTATCTGAAGCTGGCTCATAACCCGAGTTTTAGCTCGCAACTCAAAGCAAAAATTGGCTGAGAGATGGCTCATATCTTGAAAAACTCGTTAGTCGGGACACTCGTAAGTCAAGGCCCCACTGTATGGCAATCCTATGCTTAAAGGGCAAAGCAAAGGGGTGACATGGCACTGAAAGAGAGTCAAAGTCTTTCATTGAGTCAGAATCTCCCTGTAAGTTTCAACCTCTATTCTAGTTCTGCTTTTCATTTAATTCTTCATTCTCTTTAGGCAAGCATGTCAAACTCAAAGGCTAACATGGCCAAATAAGGTTTAAGTTGATTTGGGCCGCAGAAAAAACAAAAGCTTCAATTTTTATAGAAACGTAGGTTTATTTCAATAGAGACATGCTGAATACAAAGTACTGAAATAAATGAGTAATTGTTAATATAATAGAACATTTTAATAAAAGTTAACATTCTGTATTAAATATTAACTTACCAGACACTGAATAACTGCACAAATTAATAAGCGTTAACGCAAATAAACCTACTTTTCTAGTTCTCCAAAAGTGGAATATTTCCTATTGCGCACACCAAACAAGTCAGTACAAGACTAATGACATGGCAATCAGCTGCTAAAATATTCGCTGCTAGTATTAGTGGCGAGAAATGGTGCATCTGTGAGTAAGGTGCATAAGGGAAATGAATGCAACATGATTATAGTAATAAGTCATTAGCAAACGTTGCAGTTCATTATTAATAGTATGTATGACAGAATATTATAAAAATTTAAGTTATGAAATTTTTATTAAAATGTTTCTTACATACTGTTTTATTGGCTGGGCCACAAAAATATTTGTTATGGGCCGCATGCAGGCCAGGAGTTTGACATGCTTGCCTTTAGGTATTTAAAGATGCCTCCTGTTCACCTCCACACTCTCATTTCCAAGTGGAACAACTCCTGTTCCTTCCACTGTTTCTCTCTTGATGTGTTGGCTCCCAGATTCCTCTCCATCCTGTGCTGACTGCAGATGATCTTTCCCACTGTTTCAGCTAAAGTCTGACCAGAGCAGAGGATCTGGGGGATTGGGTTCAGTTCTTCCACCTTCCTTTCTTAGATACATACTGCTTTTTCCTTTTTTAAAAAATTAAATTTATTGGGGTGACATTGGTTAATACAATTACATAGGTTTCAGAGGTATAATTCTATAGTATATACTGTTCTGGACTAAGCTCAGTTCTCCTTGAACCTTCTCACCAGCCCTGATAGTGGGCCTGGTCACCCCTTCCCAGGAACTGGCATTCCAGTTCAAGGAGAAAGTTCCCGTCCCCTTTGGAAAGTTAGAGAAATGGATTCAAATCCTGCCACTTCCACATGTTAGCTCTAAGTCACACAATCTAATATGTATAACCTTGATTTCCTTATCTGTAAAACAAAGACAACACTTGCTCTGTAGGCATTAAAGTAATGTATGAAAAACACATAAATATATGGTCAGTTCTTATTATGTGCAGTAGTTATATTCTTTTTTTAAAATATATTCTTATTGAGAACCAAGATGGCGGCATAAGGTATACACCTGTACGTGCTGCCTCTCACAACCACACCAAAACTACAATTAAAAGACAAAATGGCTATCATCCAGAACCATGGGAAAGCTGGCTGAGTGGAAGTTCTACAACTAGAAGGAAAGAAAAAAGCGCATTGAGACTGGGAAGGAGGTGCAGAGGTGCGGAAGAGCAGAGGTACGGAGGTGCACAAAACAGGTTGGCAACTGGGTGCGTTGGTTTTTCAATTAGAAGGGAAATACAACCTCCCGACTGCTCTGAACTCCAGTTTCTGGTGAGACTGCGGACCCAGATTCCTACTGGGAGAAACTGGACTCTCTGGCATCGGGTCTGAAAGGGAGGGTGGCTTTCTCACAGAGGTGCTCACAGGGATCATTGTTACTGCGTGGGGGCGCAGAACGCGGAGACTCATAGACACGGAGACGGCTGACTGGCAGCCATCACTGTTTGTTCTGCCCTGGTGATCCCCTGAGACCCTGCCCCACCCAATTTACAACCCCACCTAAGCTGTGGGCAGCAACTTTTGCATATGAATGGCCTGCCTGTCCTTTTGCAGCCTAACCTAAAAAACTGCATCTGGGTCAGAGAGCTCCAAAACTTCCAAACCCTAAACAAAGAGGAGAAATCTGCAGATCTTGCTGTAGCTCCTGCTGGGTGCCCTCAGGCAGTGACTTTGCACCTCCTTGGAGATCCAGGAGCCAATGTACCCAGTGGTCAGATACCAGATTTCAACTCCTCACATCCATAAGTGACACACTCAAGAGGCAGACTCAGTGAGCACCAAAGCCCCACTGAAACAAGTCCTGC